TCAATTTGCGAGCGTTTGGCATCGATGTCGTCGCTGGGCCATGGAGGCCCCTTGTCAGCTTCCGGCGCTGGTCCTTGGCGACTTCGACGCACCTGATGAACCTGCGGTTTCGCGCGCGCTCCCTGTTCCCATCGAGTTGCCGACCATGGGGGGTGGCGGGTGGCGCGATCCAAGCAGGCATTCTTGCGCAACCGTTTCGTCGCCCCTGTGGTCTATGCCGGCGAGCCCGCCAGGTTCGTTGCTCAAATTCTCACGCTGAGAAGGATCGACGGGTTCATCCCAACCCTCAAGCAGCAGCTCGACGTGGTGGTCGACCCCACGAAGCCCGTTGATCGTCGGCTGAGAGACCATGCTGCTCTGGCTCTCCACGCTTCTCTTGCTGCTCCTCAGCAGGGCGGCGCCCGGGCCATCCCCGCCACCATGTTTAACGCCCCCCTGCGCGGGCAGCTCTGCGAGCTCGCGACGCCGCCGCGGCTTCGAGATGCGCCTCTTGGGATCGCCTGACGCGCCGCGCAGGCCGACGCGGCGGAGGCTGCTCTCCTGCTCGCAGTGGCCTTCAGGAGAGCCCAGGCGGGCAGCGACGCCAGGCCGCTGACCAGATTGGATTGCTGGCGATGCGCTCCAAGTCCTGTGCCGCGCGGCGCAGGGACCGCCCTCGAGCGCTCGCTGATGACGAGCAATGGGGTGGGGGCGCGCCACCTCGAGGACTCGGACGGGCGGGCGCAGCTCCCGCGGGACCGCGCTTTTCCGGAATCGTTGCGTCAGTCGTGCGAGCTTTGGCCCAGGCCCAACGCGCACAACAAGCCGCCCGGTGACTCGAAGCCGATCGTCATCACGAGCAGGCGCGCGTGCCCCACCGTCGCGCGCGCGCGGGCCCCCGTTGGCAGGGTCTTGACTTCGGCCGGCGCCCGCGCTCCTGACTCCGCCACCGCGTGGAAGACGCCCGCCGCGATGGCGCCAGCCTGTTCGATTAGGGCGGCTTGCTCGAGTCTGTCCGTCGCCATGCCCCTCCGCGGCTCTCTCCGCGTCAGCTGGTCATTCTGGCGCTGTCGACGCGCGGGCGAGTCGCGCGGAAAAACGCGCGCATCGGCCCTTGATCCCGGTCGTCTCCGCTACGCCGCTTCGTTATCCATGCCCGGCGCCCTCGACGCGCTGGAGGGCCCCGCGCGATAGTTTCTGCAGAACGGGGGGGCGCCTCTTGCTTTTTAACGGCCCATCTTGTTTTTCATTCCGGAGAGCACCGGGGGGGCGGGCGGCCGCGCCGGCGCGCGGTCGGCGGGCAAGCTGCACCCCATCTCGCGAAAGAGCGCAGACGGCCAGATCTTCGCGGCAGCCCTCAACGAGCAGATGGGGCCCCCCATGGAACAGCGCGCCCGCGCCACTTAGCAAGGCATCATCTGCGGTTTCAGCCTCTGCCGCAACATGATAATCGTGGACTTGCTTGGCAGCGCTGCGGGGTGACCCGCGTCGGCTGCCATGCACTTCCCAGCGCGGGCCCTGTTTGACACTGCGGCAGGCGCCCCCTCGTTGGGCCGCCAGCGTTGTTTCGCCGCGCCTCCGGGTTTCAGCGAGACGATGGCTTCTTTCTCTCGCGGAGTCGGAGCGCTCTGCCACGTTGCGCATGGGGCTGTCATTCCCCGATGGCAGCTGCCGCTGCGCATGTGCGCCGAGCTCTGTCGTGCCCCAGGGTTGCCCGCTGTCGGGCGCGATCTACGCGATCGCGATGGGCGCGATCACTCGATCAGTCGACGCGGTCTGGCGCCTGGAGAGATTGCTGCGTGTACTGACGACGCTTGGCCTCGCCCACATGAAGTTGCTGGCGCGCTGGTGCTGATCGCTGTGATCTTCGCCCTTGCCGAGCGCTAAACGCATCTCAGACGCAACGCGAGCAGGCGTGGCATCATCCCGCCGTCCGCGGCATCGCCTAGCTTTACCTCCAGCATCACTTTCCAGGATGGGTGCCCCTCCGCGCGGCGGCCCCTGGCCTCCACGTGGGCGCGCGCATCGGCCCCGAAGCCACCGGCGAACTGCAGTGGGCCAAGGCGGCGGAGAAGTGCTGTTTCCGCAATGTTGCTATCTCGCTTTCGGGTGCCCCCGCGGGCGCCTTGGCGAGGCTTTGCCGCGCGTCGTGCTTGGCGGCCCTCAGGTATCCGACCCAGCGCTGTCTTCTTCCAGCCTCGGTTCTGCCGCGGGAAACTCATGCGCTGCACCGGGTTTTCAGGGCGCCGCCGGACGCCTTCCGCCTCCAGGGCGCAGTTGCGCTGCCTTCGCGGTCGCCAAGCCCCGCGCCCTACCCGCCACTATGGCGCCATGCGGCGCACGGCCCGCCGCGCGATCCTTGATAGGCAGCGCGACCATGCAGAATTTGAGACCACCGCGAGGGAGTGCCGCCCCATCGTCGATTGCGTCTCGAGCACCCGGCCCGCCCCCCGCATCATGGAACGCACCCGCCTCCATCGCGCCGCTCTGCGCGGCCCCCGACGCGGGGGTGATTTCCCGACTTCCTCTTGCGCGGCGCCCAGATCTCTCTGGTGCCACCGCTGCAGAGTCCCCGACTTCCTCCTGCGCGCGAACACGTCGCCTGCGCTGCAGAGCCCGATCGGCGTCCACGGCCGCAACGGCACTTCATCGGCAAGTTCAATCAAGCCTTGTTCCCTGGCCGCTTCCGCGAGACGATCGCGAAGCGGCTGAGTACCTGGCCCAGTGCCGCCAACGTTCTTGCAAACTTACTTGGGAACAGGGGGAAGCGCCTGAAGCTGCCGCTGCCCCGCGCGCCCCCTGCCTGGAGGCGGATGGCCCTCCGAGGGCTGGCCTGCCGCGCGACGAATGCACGCGGCACCCGATCGACGCCGTTGCGTTTCTGGTTGCGGAACCCCAGACGCCATCCAGCATTTCGTGGCTCGCGATCGCCCCATTCACCTGGCATGCCTGCTGGGGACGATCACCCACGCGCTTGCGCTTGCTCGCGTGGGGCCCCGGGCGCACAGCGACAATCCACCGCGCATGAGAAGTCTCTATGGTGTTCAGTCCAGTGGTCTGTGCGTCATGTAGTACATCACGCTGAAGGTGCGGCACTTTTCACCTTTACGGATCTGATGCTGGTGGGCAAAGCGAGCGGCACCGCGTGGCCATGTGCGCTGCGATTGACCGCCTGCAGATGCGCGACACGATGCCATAGCGAACCCATGCGCGTCGTGGACTGGTTGCCTCCGCGCGTGCTGACTATCATCCAGCTTCTGCTCCGCGCAGCCACGACAAAACTTCCGTATCGACATCGACAGCGGCGTCGTCACCATCCAGATTGCCTGAGCTGCTGCTCGGCCCCGCGGCGCCCGCGTTGGACGCCTCCTTCGGCGCCACTGTTGCTTCTTATCCCCGACCTATCGCCCAGGCCTCCCGGGTCAGGTCCGAGTAGATGGGGGTTGAGGATCGCGCCGCGTCGCCGACGCATCGGCGATGCGGCTACGTAGGTGTGGAGCCCGACTTTCTCCACACCGACGTCGCCGATGCATCGCCGACGTCGCCGACGCATCACCCATGCATCGCCGATGCGTCGGCATTGCGGTCCAATGTGGAGTCCGAGTTTTTCCACGCCCGCAGCGCCGATGCATCTCCGACGTCGCCGATGCATCACCGTTGCATCGCCGATACATCTGCGAGCGTCGCGATCCACTGGCCCCAACCCATTCGGGCCCAATTTGGGAAATCTCTTATCTTGGGCGTGCCGGGGCTTGGGACAGGGGGGGCACCAAATACCGCAGCATTCAAGTGGTTTTGGCTCCACCACCATGCGTTCCTTTCGATGCATGCCTGTTCCCAGTGACCCGTGGCGCACGGAACGCCGGCCACACGCAGCTAGTATGCCACCTTTCTTTTCCGACCCCACCCACCGTTTTCCAGATCTTCCATTTTCCTCCTCGTCCTTCTCCTTTTTCCTACCTCTGCCGTCCTCTTTTTTTTCGTCGTCCTTGTCCTCCTTCTCTTTGCTCCTCGCTTCCCGGTCCTCGCTTCTCGTTCCTTTTCTTCCTTCTCCTCCTCCACCTCCTCGTTTGTCCCCCATCCTCTTCCCCCTCGTCCTCGTCCTCCTACCCCACCTGTTCCTTGTTGTTCCTCGTCGTCCTTGTGTTCAATGCGTCTTTGTTGCATTCCTCATCCTCCTCCTCCTCCCCGACCTTTTCCTATATCTCCCCTTCCCCCCTTCATTATCATCGTCTACCCCCTTGTCCCCCTCCGGTCCTTTTCCTTATAAACTCTTCCCTGTCGCACCCCGAGCCCAGTCGGAAGGGTGGGCCGAGCTTTTCCCCTGATATTCCCTCGCCACTCGTGACCCCGAAGCTAAAAACAGCGGCAACCGCTTCATGGATGGAGGGTGGGTGGTTTTTAATATGTGGTTTTCGCCCACGCGCCGCGCACATTCGATTACACAAACTGCAGAAGCTTCGCGGATTCAGGGCGGTTGGTTTTCAACATGTTGTTCTCGCTTCAGCGCCGCGCGCATTCGTCTTATAGACGTGTGAGAGCTTCACGGATCGAGGGCAGGCCATTTTCAAATTAGGGTTTCCGCATCAGCGACGCGAAGCTTCGTTCTAAACATGTGCAAGAGCTTCACCGGTTGAGGGCGGGTCTTTTTCGAAATGTGGCCTTCGCGTTGACGCCACGCACACTCGTCTTACACATTCGCAAGATTTCCACGGATTCCCATGGGTGACGTACCATGTGCGATGATTTTGAATGATTTAGAATTGTCAGTGCGCAACAGTTACTTTGATTCGCTGGGTTGAAGCCCCAGAGACGGCGTTCTGGCACGATTCGGGAGCGTCAATATGCACCAGCCAAGATGGTTCGTGGCCTTGAAGTTCCGAGAATGGTGTTCTGAACCGCTTTAAGATCTTCCAACTCTTGTTTCTCAACGTGGAACTTCCCTTCGTGGAAATGAGCCCTGGCAGGGGCCCATGAAGAGAGAGCTTGGAGGGAGACTCTATCTGAATATCGCTGATGAGCCTTGAGTTTGCACTGGTCCTCCTCCTCCTCCTCTTCATCCTCCTCTCGCACCGTCGTGGCCGCCCCTGCGCTGCAGGCTGCCGAAGAGAGCCGCAGCACGCGTCACGCCGAACAGAAGAGTGCCCGCGCAGGCGCGCGCGGTGCGGCCGAAGCTTGGCCGCGCGCGAAGGCACTGTCAGGGATTTTAGCTGGCCGGAGGTTTGAGGTGGCCCAGCAATGCTTCCGGTCAGCAAGGGGGGGGGGGGGGACGGGTGCTGGGCCTTGCCCTTTGTCGGCCTCCTGGGGCCGTTTTCAGGCCCCGGCACGATGAAAAACGGGTGCAAGATGAAAAACTACACGAAAAGGACCCTTGGAGGGGTTTGGTAACCGATTTTGAGCAGATTTGGCTCCATCCCCCCCCTCTTGACAGATTTGCCTCGTGGTCCATCTTACCCAGACCCTCCAGGCGCCTCAACTGTCAGGGCCTGTCATGGCTCACTCCTGACAGGCCCTGTCCTCCGTGGAGCTCGCGCAGTCCCGATGGCAGCGGACCTGCCGTGCTTGTTGTATATAAGCCCGCAGCAGGGTGCCTCAAGTGGGCCGTTACATGCCCATGCAGCCTGACTCGAAATGAAAGGGTGCAGCACTTCTGTCCTGACGTATCGCTGCCTTGCTCGCGTGCTGCCTGACCTATACTGCAGTATTAAAGTGGAGGAGGCCCTCAGCCCTTTGTTGAAAAGAGACGCGGACTCCAGATGCGCATCAAGTCATTGTCGGGGGTCTTGTACAAGACGCCCCAAAAAACGCATTGGAACCAGCTGAGGGGGCACTGAACTCCCCAGAATCTCCTCCACCTCCCCCCACCTCCATCCGAGATCCCCCGTTGTGTGATTTCTTGGAGAGGTGGGGCCCAGAGCTCTCGACCTCCGGGACCACTGTTTCGTCGCGGGACACTTCCTGACCGCCCGCAAGCCCGAAAGCCGTCCACAGATATTGAATCTCAGGCATAGCGCCATGGTGATTTGTCTCGCGATGCCTGGAGTTCTGGGCCCTCCCCTCTAGAAGCGACCACGGACCTGTCATGTGGCGCTTTCGGATCAGGATTTGGAGGCAGACCCAGTCGTAACGACGAGGGCTTGCCAGGGAGCTTCCGACATTGCCGGTCGCATGTGCACACGCTGGTCGCAGAGAGTAGGCATGTGGGGACTCCCACATCCCAACCTCAGCCAAGCGCCTCCCTACTTCAAGAGTCCATACGTCTGGACCCAACACGCCCGCCTTCCTACTTCCTCGTTTCGTCCCCCACCTCTTCGGGCCGACGGGCGCTGCGCAGTGCCGCCTGTGGGCTGAAGAGGCCCCCCCTGGAGGGCGAGAGCCCACGCACTTGCGCCCGGCACGCGGCACCGCGTCGACAGCCGTGCCGCCTCGGCGGTGCCCGCTGCATGCCCGTGGCCGGTGCTCTCGAGGCAGGCCCCCGGCCGTGGCGGCGAGGGCCCCCCGGGGAGTTCCAGAGGCTGCCAGGGGCCTTCTCCTCCTCCTCCTCCTCCTCCTCCTCCTCCTCCTCCTCCTCCTCCTCCTCCTCCCCCTCCTCCTCCTCCTCCTCCTCCTCCTCCTCCTCCTCCTCCTCCTCAAGGGCCTTGCTGCCCCCGGTAGGCCAACCCCCCCAGCCCACCCGCTGCGCCCCACTCGCAGGCCGCCGGGAGCCCAGGCCGTCTCCGAGTCGTCGCTAGATCGCGTCGCTCAGCACGGTCCTCGCACGCCAGGAGACACCGCAGCGCCGCACATCACTCGACACGGCGCAGGCACTTCCATCGGACATCAAGTCACGCCGCGATGCATCTCGCAGGCCGCGCCCACGCAATCCCCCGTCTTCCACGGACGACCTTTTTTGGCCCTGTGAGGTAATCCACAGATGTCGCCGCAGCATTTCGTTAATCTGTTAGCCGCCGCCTCACGCCTTCTCGTGGCCTCCTCCGCCGCTCGGCTTCTGGCATGGGCCAGCTGCCGCGGGAAGCGTTGTGACAGCCCAGAAAGCGTTGTGAAGGAATGCCCCGCCAGATTTCGCTTCCCGCGCTTCCGCCTGCATAGAACAATCATAACGACCCTCTTCAGAGCCATGCCGTGCGTTTTGGCCGCCGCTCGCGAGCCGCCCAGGCGGAGGCCCGCGAGGCCGCGCGGCGCCGTGCGCCCCGCGGCGCGGCGGCGCGGCATGGGGGCCCGCCGAGGACCGCCCGCTGCACGGGGCCGCTGCGCGGAGGCACCTGCCCTCCTTCCTTGGGTTTACACTGGTCCTCCTCCTCCTCCTCCTCCTTCCTCCTTCCTCCTTCCTCCTCCTCCTCCTCCTTCCTCCTTCCTCCTTCCTCCTCCTCCTCCTCCTCCTTCCTCCTTCCTCCTCTCCTCCTCCTCCTTCCTCCTTCCTCCCTCCTTCCTCCTCCTCCTCCTCCTCCTCTCCTCCCTCCTCTCCTCCTCCTCCTCCACCTCCTCCTCTCCCCCTCCCCTCCTCCTCCTCCTCCTCCTCCCTCCTCCTCTCCTCCTCCTCCTCCTCCTCTCCCCCCTCACCGCCCCGCCGTCGGCCTCGCCGCCCGTCGACGCTGTCGTCGCCCGCTGGGCGCCCCGGGGCGCGCCTCAGAGCGTGCCGAAGCGCTCTATCTCCCAAGAGCCCCGCGCGTCGTGAACCATCGTGGCGGGAGACTGTGCACCATCGTCGGCCTCGGGGGGCCCTCGCCGGGCTTCGGGCTCCGGGGGCGTCAGAAGAATCGAATCGGGACGGAAAGCCGGTCCCGGGAAGTGGGTCGAGACCTCTGGGGGTCGACGGTGGGAAAAGTCATGACGTCGGGGGTCTGGGCGGAGCGCTCTACTTTCTCCGTCCCCTGCTCCAGGCACTCCCCTTTTTCGTCTCGGCCTCCTCTCTCCGCGCCCTTCTCCTGCCGCTTCTCTCTCGCTCTCTCGTGCTCAGTCTCCCGCGTCCTCCCTTTCTTCTCCTTCGCCATGCCTGCTTCCCCTTCTGCCCTTCATTACCCTGTCTCTGTTTCTCCTCCTTCCCCTCTTGCTCGTCCCCCCTCTTCCCCCCTCCGTTCTCCTCCTCCCCCCCCCTCTACCCAGAGCCCCGACGTTGTGATTTTGTTCACAACGTCGAACCCAGGAGGTTTGGATCCCTTCCCCGGGACGGGTTTTCCATCCCGAGCTGAAATTTGACGGTCTTGAGGCCTAGCGAGGCCCCCCCAGAGGCCGAACATAGCGACATATATGCTGTCACGATTTTTGTTCACGACGCGAGGGGATCTTTGGGTCGTTCCCCCTCTTCCTTTCCCCCCCCCCCGCGTGCAGCAGCCATGGTGCGCATGCCACTTGTCGTGCGAGCCGCCGGAGGAGGAGGAGGAGGAGGAGGAGGAGGAGGAGGAGGAGGAGGAAGAGGAAAAGGACGAGGAGGAGGAGGAGGAGGAAGAGGCGGATGAAGAGGAAACGGCGGAGCAGGAGGAAGAGGAGGAGAAGGAGGAGGCGGAGGATGAGGAGAAGGAGAAGCAGAAGGAGGAGGAGAAGGAAGAGGATGGGGAGAAGGAGGAGGAGGAGGAGGAGGAGGAGGAGGAGGAGGAGGATGGAGCAGGAGGAATAGGAGGAGGAGGAGGAGGAGGAGGAGGAGGAGGAGGAGGAGGAGGAGGAGGAGGAGGAGGGAGGAGGAGGAGGAGAGAGGGAGAGGAGGAGGAGGAGGAGGAGGAGGAGGAAGAGGAGGAGGAGGAGGAGGGAGGAGGAGGAGGAGGAGGAGGGAGGAGGAAGAGGAGGAGGGAGGAGGCAGGAGGGAGGAGGAGGCCTCCTCCCCCCCCTTCCTCCGCGTGCAGGCGCCGCGGCAGGCGTGCCGCGTGCCATACGCGCCGCTGGGCTCCCAAGGGGCTCCCGATGGGCCCGGTGCCCTGCTGCCTGCGCGGGTCGCCTCGGGCGGGGCACACTGGGGAGGAGGAGGAGGAGGAGGAGGGGGAGGAGGAGGAGGAGTAGGAGGAGGAAGAGGAGGAAGAGGAGGAGGAGGAGGAGGAGGAGGGGGAGGAGGAGGAGGAGGGGGAGCGGGAGGAGGAGGAGGAGGAGGGGGAGGAGGGGAGGAGGAGGAGGGGGAGGAGGAGGAGCGGGAGGAGGAGGAGGAGGAGGAGGGGAGGAGGAGTAGGAGGAGGAAGAGGAGGAAGAGGAGGAGGAGGAGGAGGAGGAGGGGGGGAGGAGGAGGGGGAGGAGGAGGAGGGGGGAGGGGAGGAGGAGGAGGAGAGGGGGAGAGGAGGAGGAGGAGGAGGAGGAGGAGGAGGAGGGGAGGAGGAGGAGGAGGAGGAGAGGAGGAGGAGGAGGAGGAGGAGGAGGAGGAGGAGGAGGAGGGGGGGGAGGAGGAGGAGGGGGAGCGGCCGCCGAGCAGTGCTGCCGCTGCAGTCGTTGCTGGCACTGGCCCTTTGGGTGGCAGCGTCTGTGCATGCAGGGCCCTGCGGATGGCCTGCCTGCCGCTCCCCACGTCGTCCGTTGGGTTGCGCTTCTCGTCATGGCTGCTGGCGCCCCCATGTATGTTGGGGTTGCGCTTCCCGTCGAGGGTCCTTGTTTCATGTGCAACTCGTTCCTTCGGGCGAGTGCTGCGTTGCCAGGTTCTTGCGGGCCCGGGGGCAGTCCCTGCTGTGAGCCGAGGGGCGGCCTGCCGGCCGGCCCCGCGCCCCTTGTCCTATAGAGGGCGCCCAGGGATCCAACGCGTTGCGCAGCTCGTCCCCCCCTCGCCCTCCTCTGGCCCCTTCTCCCCGCGCCCTGCTCGATCCAGTCCCTCGCCCTGCTCGCCCCTCCCCTCTTGGCCCTCCTCCTCGCTCTCCAGACAGGGGGGCGTATTCAAGACCCTGTTTCTGATGGAGTCGACCCCCAGAGGTCTCGACCCACTCCCCGAGACAAGCTTTCCATCCCGAGCCGCCATGTCACGATCCCGAGGCCCGGCGAGGGCCTCCGACCATCGCATTGGCGCCAGCAGCGCGGTCCTGGCCTTCGGGCGCCGTGATCTCGGTGCTACAGGGGAGGCCCTGAGGTGCTCGTGGACCCCACCCTCTCGCACGCGCGGGACGCACCCCTTGCCTTGGGCTGCTCGCGCGCTTGCTCGCCTCGTCTCGGGTTGCAGGGTTGCGGATCTGCTGCGCGATCTCTCGTCTTTCACCTCGTGATGCGAACGGCACGCGCGCGCGAGATGATGGGGGCCTACACCGCCGGGCCGATGCAGACCAAGCGAGCGAACACCTCGGCGGTTTCGCTGCGTGGAGCAACTGCGACGGGGGGCAGTCTGGCCGCCGAGGTGCATGGACCTGTCGCCGCTTCGGGATCACGTGACCGATCGGATTTGCTGCTGCGTCGGGCCGCCGATGGGGCTTGGATGAGATGCCTGGTGCCCTTGTGTCCGCTGCCTCTGCGCTCGAGGGCGCGCGAAGTCTCCCTCTGGCGCGGCGACGGCGTCCTGCGGCGCCCGACGCCAGCGGCGGCGGCGGCGTTGAGAGTGACGAGAGCCTCGACGGCGGGGGGCACCCCTGCGCGCGCGCCGCAGGAGCCCCTCGCCGCCGCGGGGCCGCCCGGCCCCGCGCCCGGGCGCGGCGCGCTGCTGGCACAGCGCGAGCCGCCCCGCGGCCGCGGCGGGCGGCGGCGGCCAGGGCGTCGCGGCGGGCGGGGCGCGCTGCTGGAGTTCGGAGGAGGAAAATCAAGCAGTGGCGAAGCGTCCGTGCCCGCCAATTAGGCCCAGCAACGAATGTGCTAAGAACCTTTGGTTGTCTGCACGACATCACTGGTCTTGGAACAATTCTGGTTGGGACTGTCTTGTTTTGACACATCGGGCGTCTGTTATAAAAAA